GTTTTTATAGATATTCCAGTTAACCGTAATTTTGGGGTGCATGGTACATATACAGTAAATCCTTGTTATGTCATTGATACAATGTACATACAGCAAAATCGCACTCTGCAAAGTTAGCCTTCAACAGAAAAAATGCGTTAGGTACAATGCAGATTAAAAAAAGTATTTATAATTTAAACAAACCTTTAATTAAAAGGTAATTTACTGTAATTAAAAGAGAAACAAACAAACAAATACTATTAAGTGAAAATAATTTTTTACTGCTTAATAAGTATGTGATGCAATTACCGTATTTGACGCCATATAAGACGCACCATTGTTTAGAAGGCCACACACAAGGGAAAAAAGTTTCAATAGTCCGCACGACAGTGTGGTACCACAATAACTTAAAATGTGGTTTCTTTTAGTTCTCACTTTTCGTAAAAGCCAAATAAACAATCATTGAATGCAATTACCAAACATATTTTTATTAAGGAAAATTAACAAACGGCAAGCTATTTTGAACATGATATGTAAATTTCAATAATGAATAAATGAATGAACAGCAAGCAATCAAACATAATACAAAATAAAGCAGAAACAACAAAAAACACATATTCAAGGAAAACATTGCCTATCATGAAATTAGACTTTAATCACTTTCAAAACCAATAAAAATCCTTTTCACTATCATCATCATCGAAAACGAGAATATCGTCATCACTACTGTTTCTGTCATCGCTAGTATCACCTTCTTCGAATAATACGTCGTCTTCTGTTCCTGTCAGAGAACATTACTGATTCCTGCACTTTTTAAAGGACTTAACAATTACGTCAGCCTTTACGTCCTCCCAAAATCTTTTTACCCACTCGCACACTTGTGAAAGAGGGCAGCTTCATTCTACCTGATGGTGTGAGGGCATGATGTGGCTCTCCTATCACCTTATTCCATCGTTCTCGCACTTTTTCCTTAAATGGTTTACTCACCGATACATCTAAAGGCTGCAATTGGCTAGTCAGTCCGTCAGGAATGACAGCTATCTGGGTTTTTTAATTCTCTCGCCTTATTCTTTATGGTTTCAGTTCTATGGGCGCTAAACTGATCCAAAACCAAAAGAGAGGGTTTTCTTAAAGAGTCCACCAGGTCGCCTCACCCATACGTTCTGTAACCACAGTTACATTCCAGCTTCGTCCATCCAGCCTTTCGGATGAACATGAACAATTACACCCATTGGAAGTTTTTCTTTCAGATGAGTTTTTCTTTTGAATATAAAAAATGGCGGTAGTTTTGTGCCATCAGCACAACATGTTAGAACTACCATATATCGGGTTTTTTCATGACCTGTGGTTTTTATTGTTATTGATTTAGACCCTTTAATACTCACAGTCTTGTTGGATGGTACATCAAATGTGAATGAAATTTCATCCATATTTCCTATTTGACCGAGCTTAAAAGAAGTTTTCTTGCGTGCATTTATAACAGCCTATGAAATGCTAGTATTTTTTCTTCATAATCTGCTGCCATTTTCTGTGAAATAGTTGTTTTTGTGCGCATTGAATAAGCCTTGCTTTTTCATGAACCTGTAGCACCAGCCCTCAGAACCCTGAAAAGTTTCTGATTCCCCCTGTTTTTCTGCGCATCCTTTGGCCTCATTGATTATCATTTTCGTTTGAAACACTTATCCCAGATTTCCTCTTATCTATCACCCACATTTTTATGGTATTTTCAAGTTCAGGCCAAGATGGAGCTAGGCATCAAAGGTTATATTTTTGTTTTTTAGCAGTCTTCAGTTGATCTTCCTGCAGTCGCCAAGTACATATCATTTTTTCGGTAGGTGGTGGACCGAAATGCCTTGCTGCTGCTCTGTTTCCATGCACTTTGGCGTAGTTTAACACTCCTAGTTTATACTGAATTGTATAGCTTAATCTCTTGTTTCCTGTAGTCATAAATTCCAAGGTATTTTTTTAAAAAAAATAGTTTTAAGCACCGATACTACACGTTTATACAGAGTATCACCGATACCGACACATGTGTCGAGTGAGTAAAAGAAAGGCTCCATAGACGTAATGTGACCATCGAACCTGTTCGAACTTTGACATCGGCTTCGAGCTTTGGCGCTTTTTGGCGACAGATATTTCATGCATGCGCAAAATAATTATGGCAGATGTAGAAAAAGTTATGTGTGTCTAGACCTTTATCCGGGCTAAAAATAGCATTCAGTATTGAAAGTTAACCTGTGTCCTTCAAGTATAAGACACAGGTAACATTTTCGAGACCAAATTTAGGAAAAAAAGTGTGTCTTATATGCCGTCAAATAAGGTGTTTTTTTAAAAAGCTGATCCTTTTTTGTTAGGGACAACAAGCAACACAACTCTTTAAAACTCTCATGCTAGGGAACAAAGAGTTTTTCGATATTTTTCATAAACTGTCTTCTTTCATCATCTGGGGAACTTCCATTGTAAAATCAGACGGTTCCTGTGCCCTTTTTAAAAAATTTACTTAACTTTAAAACTAAAGGGATTTCATCTTCTTCATTATCATTGATTTTACTGTTGTTTGGTATTATAAAATCCTCCCATTCTCCATTCATCATTTCTTGATTAATGCTTTGATCTCTCCTTTTTTCATATCTGAAAATCTTTCAATGTTTTTGAAATTTGTATGATTTCTTTGGCTTCATTCTCAATAAATGACAATCCTTCAGTTGTTGTTGATTAGTTTTGTACAGAGCTGATACCAGAAAACATTCATTATTGATGAATGGACGTTAAATCGCAAAAGAATGAAATTCTAGCACTGGATAAATTAAATGGAAATGATTAAGATAACACATATAGCCAAAACCATGTTCCGAAAATCCATGCTTGCTTTACCATATTATGCAATGTCACATATGGTGAGTGTAAAATGATACTAGTGTCTGTTTTGGTACAATACTGAATGAGCAACAGTTTTACATGCATGGTAAATTTGAAAGCAGAACAAGAGCAGCAATTAAAGTTTCCATAAAACCCCTTCAGAAATCATTTAAATGTTGAAACCTGCCTACAGCAATGAAGTCCTTTGTTATGCCAATATTTTCATTCGGCATTGTTGATTTTGTGATGACTAAAAATATTTGACAGATAATCCCATAGTCCATTGAGTTTTGTCCCTCAATCACCTGAATTAATAATGATATCGAGAAGGTTCAGAGGAAAGGGGAAAAAGCTATATAAAAAGCATACAGAAAAACCTGACAAATTACTCAAATCATTCAAGACAAATTTTCCATATTCTTAAAAATACTTGAAAATCACAAAATAAAGACCAAAAATTGTCCAAGTGCTACATAATATAATCATTAAAAAAAATCTGATGTGTACACCACATGACTTCCTTGTACGAAATATTAAATTATACACATTTTATCTTGCATTTCATTTAAACTTATTGGATTGAATTAAATCTACTTCATCGATAGCGCATAGACTAAAATAGAATAAATGCACTCTTTAAAATTCACTATTTACCATAGCGACACTCTGGTGCTAAGTTCACTTAACAGTGTTATATTTCGTTCATACTGTAATTCAGAATGCACAAAATTTATATCATTTGAAGAATCATCTAATCGTTGCCACATTTTCTATACTGTAATAAATCTAAAAGGATGTATAAAAGAAATTAACCAAACAAAACAAAAAAGAAACAATTCCAAACATATTTCCTAAAGGCATAAAAACCTTAACCAGAAGATAACAAGAACATAATCATTTTTAAAGCAAAAAATGCTCAATTTACAAACATATAAGAGTAGAGAAACTGTGATCACTGAGCCGGGTAACAGAGTGGATATATAAAATATTTATACACGTTTGGTGCAGCCGATTGCAACCAAAATACGAGGTCCACATCTACATATAATAGCAGTCCTATATACAAAATTTCGATGTTCTGAGGCTACTCGTTGAAATATGCTGCCTGAAACTTTTTGTGATTACAATACTTCCTTTTTTACTTCACACAAAGAAGTAAAAAAGAAAAACAGTTGTTGTAGCTGTTAAAACCTATTACTATTAAAATGGATATAATCTTAAAACCTGAATTATACCATTATATTAGTAAAATCTGGTATGCCCTTTACGTTGAGCAGATTTTATGACATGATCATAATCGCATGGTTATTTTTGAAAAATAGGTTGAAAGTAGTTTCAGTCAGGCAATAAATAAACATTATATGCTTCATCCTATTATAAATGAAAATTTTATAAATCTTATTTGCACAATGATTGAACATACTATTAGATTTCAAAGAATATTCTCCAATTTTTCATTTATTCTAAAAAAATTAAAATAATTCTTTGGGTTTTGGAACAATACTCAAATTGGTTTTCTACTATAAGTTATTTCCTAGAAATGGTCAGAATGAACTTGAATGGTTACCGTGCTGTGGTTATGTAAATTTGAATAAATATAAACATTGTAATTAAACTTGTTTCGATTTAAAATACATTTCTATTTAATACTCTACTAAGTGTTTCCTGTTTAATTTTAAAATATATATAGTTACCATTCATCTAACTATGAATGAAAGATTATCTTAAAAGAAGTAATTTTAACATAAAACACTTTACAGTATTGCAAAAACTCGATTTTAACTGGTGGTGGTACCACTAGTTTTTACTATTTTAAGAGAAATTGGCCAATCATACTTAAAAGATTAAAAAATGTAGCATTCTTTTTCCATCTTTTTAAGATAAGGAATCTGTACATAGAAGACACATGCACTAAAGTTAGGTACAAAATTAGGCAAAAATCCAAATACTGGTTGGTGTTATTCTATAGAAAGCCGTATCACTTCCAAAACAGTCAAGCAAGCAGACTTCTTTTTCAAGGAGCAAAAGTACTTTGTTTCCCTAGAAATCAATAGAGCTTTCCACAAACTTAGTGGCAATCTATACTTGGATTTTTACTTAGTTTTATTACAAACTGATGTTTATATTAGTAGTATTGATATTATTATTTTCTTTTCACTTACCTCAATTGTCTTTCAACTGTGTTAAAATCTTTAAGAGGAAAAACTAAGCCAGGGCTTGAATAGAGAACAAGAGGCATGCGGAATTCTAAATATGCAGAATTTAGCCACCATTCATCCAACTATGAATGAAAGATTACCTTAAACAGGTAATTTTTAACATAAAATATTTATGAAAAAAACTTATAAAACATTATGATGTAAAACTGCATTCATCATTTCATCATTTTGGGATTACTGTTATATAGCAGCATAATAACTATAAATAATTAAATAATACAGAAACGTAGATATCTTAATTTAAAATGATTCTTAGCTTTCCAAAGGGGAGTTAACCCAGAAGGGTTACTAGGTATTTTTTGAAACGGCATTAAAATAAAATCGTTAATTTGTTTTCATGAAAATGGCCAAAAAATCGACATTTATTGTACTCACTCTGGAACAAGTATTCTTAAGCTTTTTAACAATTAGATTTGAGTTACATACTATCCTGTCTTACTTGGCTTATATCAAAATTTTCGATGAAACGAGAAAACTCTGAAAATTTAAAGGCTTGAAGAATGTTTTTAAAACTCTAGAAGTAGTAACTTATCTTAATTTTGTCCTATTAAAAAGTTCGCCACATTGTCTCAGTGAGATACATAATTGGCTGAAAACTTGGAAGGCTAGAAAAAGATAGCAGCTGTACTGCTTGTTAACTTTGTTTTGCAAAAATCTGAGCTTAAGTTATAAGGCAATCAGCTTTAATTTTTTATTAATTTTATACAATAAGGCAACGGTTTAATTTGTGTTATAATTTTCAGTTGTAACCAATCAGGAGTGTTTAAAGAAATTTATTTCAAATTTAATTTTACTTGCATTTTATTCTAACAGTTTAAATATTTTAAGGATTATAATTTGCCAACAGGTTAAAATAACTCTCCGTGTTTTCCTTTAAAATGATCTTTCATTTTAAATTAATTTCACATCCCGGCGTTACAATTCTTGATACCTAAGCCGTTCCTTCAATATTTTTTATTCCTTCAATATTGCGTCAAATCACTATAAACTATCATTTTTAAAATCATTACCACCAAATATTATCACCCTGTATTACATTAAAAAAAATAAATAATGGAGTATCTGCATGAATGTATGCATGTTTCTCACATTATGTAAAATCAACGATACCTACAGCCATCAAATTTTTAATAATGGAGTACTTCAACCGATCACGGGAAGCCCAAATCTTGAATTTCGAATTTGTTTTATTATCGATTGCATATTTTTTAAACTTTAACGAATTTTTGATTCAGAAACTCAATTATCTAAAGCGATAAGTAGCAACACACGGTGTAGAACAAAATACTTTTATCTCCAGCACACGAGGCCATCTATCAGAAATTCTAAAGATATACTGTTTTTTAGCAAATGCTCTTGAAACATGTATGAATGTGTAAATAAAAAAATAAAAAAAGTCTCTTTGGGTATAATGTAAAATCTTAAAGCTTTCAGATTTTAATTTTTTTTTTATATATATATAATTTATAATGGTTATCACAATACTGATACTAATTTTTATAATTTATATTTTTCATTTTATTTAATATTTTAAGTAATAGCTTGCATTCATTACTGTGGTTTCATTTTTAGAAAAAAATGGTTCAATTTCTATTTTTTTCTATTTTAACCTTCTTGCATATTATTATGGAAAGATTAGATAAAAGTCATATAACCATTTCATTAAGAACCATCACACTTAATTTATGGCATTTTATTTAAAACTAAAAATATTACTCACCCAGTTTTCAGTAACTTTTGCCCTTTCTTTCAACATGGTATGCAGTTTGACTCCCAAGCCACCAGGAGCACCAAATTCTTTTACAACCTATTAATTTTTTATTATTTATTTTATTTATAGTCTTTTATTTGACTGTTAAATATTTTGTTTTAGTTAATGAATATTGGAAAAAAGTACTTTTATTCAAGTTTTGCTAGTTATCAACATTTTGTATACTTTTTGTTGTTTAATTAATCAATTTCTAACATGATTAGTCAAAACATTAAATACATCCACTCAATCAACTCATTTTGTTACTGGAAAAGGAAACAACCAAAATTTTAGTTTCACAGAAGTTGATCTAGAAATGGTTTCAATTAATTTGATTTCAAATACAGAAAAGAGGATGCAGACAAGAAACCATTTAGTGATTTAATAGAAAAAATATAAATGTTTTCAAGAATTCCTATGATCAATGTAAATTAAATATTTATTATCCAAATTTTATCTTAGGTAATATTTTTGCAGCCCAACTTGCTAAACTTAATATATTAGAAATATAGATAAATTTTATTATAACAAACACTACAGGATGAAAGGTGTTTCTAATCATAACCATAATTAATACTTACACATTTTCCAATTGATCATTTGGGGGCGGGCAATTGCCACCAAACAGCGCAATTTAGCACCAATAATGGATAAGCATGACATCACATCACATTCATAAGACTTTCACTTTAGTTTCGCATAACCTCGATACTCAATAAGCTAGATTAGTTTTTGTGAAACAGACTATAAGTTAAGTGATGTTTCTCTGTTCCCCCTTGCATTATTAAAACAATTTCTAAAATTTTCAACCTGTCTTTGACAGACAAACAACCAGTGAAATATTTTCAAAATTAAAGGACCAGTTACACAGCTGTGCATACTCAAAATACTGAGAGATTCTGAGGTTCAGCAAAATGTCATGATCAAAAACACAACACAACTAGGTAACATCACTTAGATTTGTATTTAAGAGAATTTATGTAGTTCCTAGTTCACAAAGAAGTAGCTTTTCTCTTGCTATTTTAATGTCATTTGGGATTTCTGGCTACCAGAATTATAGCCATTAATTTTAATGACTTTATCTGTCACATAATCTTAAAGCTTTAGCTCCTATTTATATAAATATTTTATATGCTATACCTGTAACTGGCATCTACTGATTATCTCATTAAATAAAGAGCAATTTTAAATCATTTAACTATAAAGAATAATCTGTTTCTTCAGACTAATGCTTTAACAACCGGCAACAATTCGGTAATAATCTTAAAAATTTTTTTAGGCTTAAGGACTCCGGAATTTTTTATATTCCTGAAAAATTAAATCTGCATGAAATTATATGCAATTTAAAATCATTACTACCTTCTGCTGACTGCAGTCCTCAGCATGTTATTTTTAGCTTTGCATATCTCATTTTTGTTATATGCATATAAGAGCTGCACATTTTCTATAAGAAGTCACAATTGATATTCCTGTCAGAAAGTTAATTCAAGGCATACAGAATTTTAAAAACTTATAAAAAATTTAGAGCATAAAGTAGAACATTTACACTCTCAGTTGCATTCATTTCGCCTTCACCAAAGTGAGTAACTTCCTGATTCATCTGTAAGTGATTTTATTTTATCTGAACTGGCAGCAAAGAGTTCAGTCTAGAAATTCTTTTTCATTTCAATTTCTTTTTTGCTCATGGCAGAGAATAAATGTGGATATATATAATACATTCAAAAACTCATTGGCACACCTGTTGCATACATATGTAATAGCTAAATATTAGAATTTTAACTTGTTACAAGAGTAATTTTGTATTTATTTCAATAGACCAATTGATGACATTAATAAATAAAAACAGGTGTCTTTTAAAAATCACAGAAATAATTCTATTGTAATAACTCTAAATGTAATAACATGTAATAACTCTAAAACTACATATATGTAACAGTAAAAGTATAGGTTAAGGCAAGGGTTTTCAACTAGACAGGAATTCTTCCATGGAAGGAAATTTCATAGTTTCAAAGGGGAAAGCAGTCAGTCTTTTATTTGACTGTTAAATATTTTGTTTTAGTTAATGAATATTGGAAAAAAGTACTTTTATTCAAGTTTTGCTATTTATCAACATTTTGTATACTTTTTGTTGTTTAATTTTTCGAGTTTTGAAAAGGGGGAATGATGATCTAGCAATGGTGAAAGATGTGTATTGATCAAAACATGTTGAAAACCATAAGGTAAACATGTTCAATGTCATCATAAGACAACAGTTGGCAAACTGAGTTTACTTGCCAGCTAGTAGATATTGATCACTTACCTAAATCCCTGATTATCAGTACTGCCACAGAAAATACATGCAATATTTAGGTGTTTAGCACACAGAAAGGGACTAAATAATTCACTTGCACACTGAAATGGATCATTTGTTTCCCAAAATGTAGATACAATAACCAAATGTTTAGAAAGCAAAACATTTATTTACTTATTTTTTTGGTTCGATCATATAGGAAATGATGCTGGTTATAAACATACTGCTTGAATTCTTGTTGAATGACTCATATAAGACTAATGGAAAATAATGTAGTATTGCAGAGTTTTGCCTGAATGCACAGAAAAAGTGAGAATTCTTTATTTAGATCTGAATATTTTTTGATGAAAAATATTATTTAATAAATTAAATATTATTTAAGGATCAAAAATATTATTTCATATGTCATCTATGAAGATACTTGGGTGAATTTTTTTATTGCTAAAACTAATCTCTTATATCTACATTTAAATAATAAAATAACAGAAACTAATTTATAAGTGAAGTGTCTGGTGTGCAAATATACAAAAATAACACTTCTCTGATTCCAATGGAACCAATATTTTATTCCTTGCAAAGTTATAGATTCTTATTCATAAGATTTATTTACATTTTACATGCACATAGAATCGCGTGACAGAAACACGAAGTTTGTTTACTTCGTTCTTCGCGGAGACTAGAAGGTGTTGCCATTCCGCTTTAACTAAATTTAATTAGAAACTTAACGGAACTGAAGCGACACTACACACCCCCTTCCTAGTGACAGCGATTATGGAAGATAGTCTTTAAAGTGACTGGGGAACTTCACATGTCTGCCGGTTCTAGTAGTCTTGGTTTCATGATGATGAGTTTCTGAATTTTCTTCAGTGTTCTTGAGTGCAGGTGTTTCCCCAAGTTCCGCTTTCTTGGAATGGGAGTTTTGAAAAGGAATATCAGAATCTTGCACTAGGAAACATGGCTTTAGTCTGTCTATTGAAACTCTTTTAACTTTTCCTTGGATTTCAATGTCGAAGTACTTATCCTTTCTTGCTCTTACAGGATACGGTCCATGATAGACAGGCTGTAGCGACGAATTATTAATGTTGTTGTATAGGAATACGTGAGAACAGTTGGAAAGATGTTTAGAAACAAAGACTGTTCTATTTCCATGGGTGGTGGTTGAACTTGGCTTCATAGCTCTTATAGCTCTTATTATTTTCTGAAGGTTTTGAGAAAATTCAGACTGTTTCATATGAGGTACTGTTGAAAAGAATTCACCAGGTAATGCTAAAGGGGTTCCATATACAAGTTCTGCGGATGAGCAGCCTAAGTGTTCCTTGATGGCAGATCTTATGCCTAAACGAAAGGCAATGCTTCCAGCCATCCATGATTTTGATTCGAGTAGATGACATTTGAGACTTGCTTTTAAAGTTCGGTGTTGTCTTTCGATCAGGCCATTTGCCTGTGGATGGTACGCAGTTGTAGTGTTTGTATGAAAACCAAGATATTTTCCTAAAGCTTGAAAAAGTTGGCTATCAAATTGCCGACCTTGGTCAGATGTTATGCGATTCGGAATTCCAAAGCGTGAAAACCAAGTATAAATCAAAGCTTTAGCAATAGATTCTGCTGATTGATCTTCTAACGGTACCGCTTCGATCCATCGTGTATAACGATCGATGATGGTTAGAAGAAGATATTTGAATCCTTTGCAAGGAGGTAGCGGACCCACCAGATCTATGTTTAAATGCTGGAATCTGTGTGGAGGTACTTTGAATTCTCCCAAAGATGAACTGTGTATGTCTGTGAACTTTAGATCTTTGGCAAGATAAACATGCTCTAGTCCATAGTTGGCAGTCTTTATTCATATTGGGCCATATGAAACGTCGTGTTATCAATTTTATCGTGGATCTTATTCCAGGATGAGATAAATTATGGATTGAAGAAAATATTTTCTGCCGAAACTTTGCAGGGATGTATGGTCGATTATAATTTGTAGAAGTATCACAGTAAATTTTCTTGTCGCTGTCCGGTATAGGGATCTGTAGGATTTTTAAGTTTGGGTTGTTTTTTAGTATCTCCAAGTCGTCATCTTCTTGACAGTCTACTATAGTTTGTAAGTCTATTGCAGATGGTACAGAAATGGTGTCTATGCGAGAGAGAGCGTCAGCGACGGTATTTTCATGCCCTTGTATGAATCGGATATCGGTTGAGAACTGGCCAATATATGACAGTTGTCTAGCTTGTCGTGGCGAAGCTTTTTCCAAATTTTGTTGGAAGGCAAATGTTAGTGGTTTGTGATCCGTGTATATTGCAAAAGTTCGCCCTTCTAAGATGTATTTGAAATGTTTTACTGCTGTATAGATGGCTAAGAGTTCTCTGTCGTAGGCACTATATTTTTGTTGTGCTGATGTCAAATTTCGGGAAAAGAAACTTAAGGGTTGTTTTTCATTATTCACAATCTGATGTAAAACGGCTCCAATGGCAGTATCGGAAGCATCAGTTGTTAGCGATATTTCAGCCTTTTCGGATGGGTGAGTTAAGTTTGTGGCATGAATAAGTGCATCTTTTAAGATCTGGAAGGCGTTTCTTTTTTGTTTCTGCCGTCCAGGTTATTTCTTTTCTGCAGTTCTTTTTAATACCACTGAGCAATGTTGTTAAAGGTTGTTGCAATTTCGCACAATTTGGTATGAATCTGTGATAAAAATTCACCATACCTAAAAATCGTCTTAAACTAGTAAATGACTTTGGTTCTGGGAAATTTTTGATGGCATCAACTTTCGTTGAAAGAGGTTTAAGTCCTTCAGCTGACACTTCGTATCCCAGGAATGCAAGTTTTGCTTGACCAAATTTACACTTTGCCGCATTAATACACAGGCCATATTCGTTTAGTCTCTCGAGGACTGCTCGTAGATGTTTTCGATGAGTTTCTTCATCTGGAGAGGCTATTAGAATGTCATCCAAATAGCAAAACACGAATTCTAGTCCATTCAACACACTGTTCATGAAACGTTGGAACGTTTGGGCCGCATTTCGTAGGCCGAACGTCATGAATGGGAACTCGAATAAGCCAAAGGGAGTGAGAATGGCCGTTTTCGGTATATCTTCTTCGCGAACTGGAATTTGTTGGTACGCTCTAATGAGGTCTATGGATGAGAAAACTTTTTTCCAGCTAAAATGGAACTGCAATCTGTTAAAAATGGGAGAGGGTATCTATCAGGAATCGTGACGTTGTTTAACGCTCGATAGTCTCCACAAGGTCTCCAATCACCTGATTTCTTCATAGCGAGATGTAGTGGGCTCGACCAGTTACTTTTGGATGGCCTGCATAAACCCATTTGGAGCATAAATTCAAACTCCTTTTTAGCCGCTTTAAGTTTCTCAGCTGATAGTCTCCTGGCTTTAGCGAAAACTGGTGGACCTCTGGTTTCGATATAATGTTCGATGTTATGATTTTTAACTTTATTATTAACTACATTCAGTTTTAAAAACAAATCCGGAAAATCGTTAATGATACGTTTATATGGATCATTTACGGCATTTAAAATCGGAATATTATTATTGTTATTTTGAAAACAAGGAGTTCCATTGGTTGTTAAGAATGTAGTACCATCAATCAACTTGCGATTTTTAGAATCTACCAAAAGGTTTTAAAATTTGCAAGAAAATCCATGCCTATTATCGGTTTGTTTACGTCCGCAATTACAAAAGGCCATGTGAATGATCGTCTGAGTCCAAGATCAAGCTTGAGTAATTTTTGGCCATATGTTTTAATTTTCGTACCATTTGCAGCAAAGAGTTCTAATTTTGAGATTTTTTTTTATCTGCAGGCAAGGGAGGAATGACAGAAATTTCTGCCCCAGTATCTATTAAAAATTGGGTAGCCGATTCTTTGTCGCGCTGATGAAAAGACGACTCAGCTGCACCCCTTGTCCCTCCGTCGTCAATGAGAGACGGGGAGCTGGTTTTCCGGACTATTTGTCTGTGATGTTGATGAGTAGTTGCAGCAGGGTTGTTTACACTTAAATGACTTATCACCGAATTTTTTATGATAGTAACAAATATCACTAGATCTGTTACCACTGTAACTCCTATCTCGTGATTTGGATCGGTTACGACAATAGGGACGACTGTGGCGTTGCTTGTTTAAAGCAGAAACTTGTAAGCTAAGTTCACTAACCTGTTTTTGTAAACTTTCAATCACTTCCGTTTTTACCGTTATGGATGATGCAGCAGCTATTTGGGGAGTAACAGGGTTTAATTCCCAAATCTTATCGGCCATTGTAGCCACTTTTGACAAATCTTCACTACTAACAGATATAATGCTACGCATATTAACGGGTAAACGTTGTAGCCACAATGTTTTTAGGAAAGTATCTGTTACTTTATCGCCAGCCAAATTACGCATCTCACATAGCAATTGAGATGGCTTTTTGTCACCCAGTTCTAACTCACTCAGTAATTTTTGGGTTTTTTTGAGTCTCTGAATCAGCATATAATGAAATTAGTCTATTTTTAATTGCCTCATATTTATTATCTTGTGGTGGACTTAGCAGAATATCAGATACCTGTGACAAAATATCGGGTTCAATGGAACTTATAACATAATCATATTTTGTTTGATCTGCACTAATTTTTGCATTTCTAAATTGTGCTTCTAGTTGAATAAACCATATATTTTAGGATCTGGCTTCCAAAAAGGAGGAACTTTAACGCTTACCTTGGCGACAGATGCAGTTGTTGCTTTAATTTCGGTTTCGTCTTCGTCAGCCATTGTAGAATTCGATCACGCCGGGATACACCAGTGAAGTGTCTGGTGTGCAAATATAGAAAAATAACACTTCTCTGACTCCAATGGAACCAATATTTTATTCCTTACGATGTTATAGATTCTTATTCATAAGATTTATTTACATTTTACATGCACGTAGCATCGCGTGACAAAAACTCGAAGTTTGTTTACTTCGTTCTTCGCGGAGACTAGAAGGTGTTGCCATTCCGCTTTAACTAAATTTAATTAGAAATTTAACGGAACTGAAGTGACACTACAATAGCATGAATCGATAATTTCGTGAATAATGCATCATTCTTTGGGAGTAAACATGTTTGTTGATCAAGAAATTGAGAATGTTATTTTTTGAAACACCACTATGTAATAAATATAACAATGCAAAATGTAGCTTATTTATTCCATTGAACTATCAGGAGCAGTAGTCCAAAGGATTAAATACAGGTTTAAAGATTTTTAAATATTTTGATCTTTATAAAATGATTAAAAATATAGGAAATAACGCATAATGTATGTTAATGGAATTCCATTAATGGACATTTACAAGGCTTTTATCCATTATCACAAAGTGTCTTTTAAATGGGAATAAACTAATCTTTTAGTTCATGCATTCAGGATCAAAACACTATCAACAAAAGTGCAATACAGTACAAAGTCCGTAATCCGGACTCATCAGGACTTGGACAATTCCGGATTAGGGTTTTTTCCGGATTATAGATCATAATTTAAATCTAGTAAGATGGCATGCAGAAATTATACAATTAAAAATATGAAACCGTAATTTATGAAATAAAGAGCAATTATGATCTAAAGGGTATCAAAATTTACAAAAAAAAGCTTAACATTTATTTGTTTACTTAGTAAACATTTCTTACAATGTAAGTTGTTTAAGTTACTTTATTTTTTGTGCTAATACTTTCTCTTTAATTCTATAAACAGACATAATTCCTTGTTCAGTTACAAATTTCCACTGTTCAATTCCTGTAATTGCTGTGTCGAGAATACCGACTAACTTGTCAATCAAAATTTTTTCGTTTTCAATAACGTTCTCTGTTACTTTCTTCACTATTAGAAGCGCACATGGGTAAACGCTTTACTGGCTTTATGCGCATGTGTAATGGACGCGCGTACCAAACGCGCATACGTAAGTTTGTGGCTTCGAGGTACGGATTATAGATCATTTCGGATAATGGACGTCCAGATTACGGACTTTGTACTGTATCTATTAACAGATGTTTGAATGCTTCTGAACTTCTAAAAGAGAGGGAAGAAAAGAAAAAGATTACATTGAAATATTATTTATCTGTGTAATTTTTATATTTAGCATCCCAATATATAAAATGGGTACTGCGACAAAATAAACATATGTGAATATAAATTTATATATAAATAAAATACATGGATTTAAATTTAGTAAATATACATTCATTTTCAAAAAAATGATATGATCAAGTAACTCACTTTTTCTGTGTTGTGGTATTCTTCTTCAGTAAGAAGTGGACGAACAGATAACAAGTATTTTTCTAATGAAGGATGAAGAGGTGGAACAGGTAAACGAGGCAAAGACTGCTGATGAGCCTGCAGTTTTTCACCCATTCTGAAAGGAGCCACTGACACAGCAGATGTTGTAAACAAGTATCTGTTTGCAAAATTTTCAGCTTGCCTGAACTAATGGAAAAAAAATAAATAATTTTAAAAGAAAGGAAAAAAAATCATGAATATATTTTACTACAGATACAGCTACTGCACAATGAGTGAACATGTATCAATTTAAGATATTTACAAAAAATTAATTTCAGTGATAATTATAAATAAACTTTTTTTCTTTTTTAAATTTCAAAGGGATTGATTATTTGCTTTTTATTTAACACATTATAAATTTCTTTAAAAGGTGAAAATATTTCCGCAAATAACTTTCCAACATCTAATTATTTTCAGTTAAACAAAACAGTACTTAAGTATTATCCCATTGACCATGAAAGTGGGCTCCCATAAAATCACGAAAATTGGTGGAAATACCACCAGTTTTACAAATCGTTTCTGCAGAATTTTGAAGGAACTGACAAGTTTTTATTTAATAAACAATCAGTATTTGACCTGCTTCATTTTTATGCTTCAAAAAAAGGGCTTTTGTCAGTTTCTACTATTTTGTTAGGGCCTCCGATTTTACTGTAAGCTCTGTTTAATTATACTGGATGACAACAAATTTCCTGCCAGTAGTTAATTGCTCCAATTTATTACTGTTTTGTTAGCAATACTCAGCTGACAATATCATGTTCATTTTTACACTTTTTTGGTGGTAAGATACCATAACTTTTAAAAATAACTTACTGCTTGCTGTTCTGCAGAAGAGAAGTCCAAATTTTTAATCATTTTTCCAAAATATATTAATATAAAAAAAAACAGCAATAACAGTTTATTTTATATTTTGTTCATAAAAACAAAACATGACATTTTAAGAATCAATTGTGGTTATATTTAACAAAAGTGCAGATGTTATGAGCATATTGTTACATCGTGCTTATATCATAACTGCCGCTTAATTGCACTGCTTGGAGAAAATTTCACCATTGATAGGATAAGATGCAATTACCCCCCCCCAAAAAAACTATCCATAATTAGTCATCTTTTTCAAAAATTCATACATTTTTAAGTTAGCTAAATTACAGTTACTAGATTTACATGTTGACAGCCAACAGATGGCATGGTGGTGATATGAACTTGTGAAAAATATGGATGGATATTTGTAACCATACACTGTCTTTATGGCCTGAAAACACTTATAATCCACTTAGCTTAAAGTTTTCTAAAAATATGGGAGACAGATGAAAATGAAAAATGTCTTTTGGATCATACCATCAGGAGGTTTCAGTAAAAATTTCAATAAAGCTAAACATAAAGTTGTTTTGCTAGCACTTGTGTCTATAATTACATATCAATGAGAAGCATTTTCAACCCTAACCATGACTGATTATAAGGCAATTTCACTGGCTATACAGTTGAAGACAAGTCACAAAATTATACATAGCTTTGTAATGAAACAGCTTGACTGATTTAAAGGGCATTTCGAAAACTGCAATGATAATTGTCCATATAAAGAAAGTAAGAGTGTACAGATAAGCACTTGCAACATTATTAATGACAAATATGGTAATATTCAAAGACAGTATGACAACTATCATCTTCAATATTTGAAAGAATTAAAGATCACTAGCTAGTTATCAGAGAAAAAACGGTACTCTTCTGTTATCGGGATCGTATTCAGAAATGTACGTATGTATGTATGTGCATATATATGCATGTGTAGAGACACATACATATATATGTACATATGCATACATAAACACATGAATCCATACATACATACACTAGATTTCTAAATCAGGTCCTGATAACAGAAGAATACCAAAATAACATTGTGATCAGTGGCTTACACGTGTTTATTTATATTCTGGGTACTGCTCATGTTATGATACTTGTATAACATTTTATTCTTACATTAATAACTTTCTACCATACTATGGTTAACATAATATAGATCAGTTACATTACATATTAACATCTCCCGGCAGGTTACCAGAAAAGTTATGAATTTGAGATACTATAATAGAAGACAAAACTATTATTTTCCTGCTATTGCAAACTCTTCCTGATTAGTTCCTTTAAAAGGGCTTCTGTTCCTTTCTACAATTCTTCCATCTGTTCTATAATCCTATATAACGTGGTCTTTCTGCTTCTTCTTAATTTTCCTCTTTTCATTAGTTTTTCCCTTTCTTTTTATGTAAAATGATCTCTTCAGGTCGTTTTACTGGTCTTGCATTCTTCATAATAACTTTTTTGTAAGATTGTCTCTTCAGAAAATGTTTTATGGTCTCATATCGTTTAGCTTGGACAAAATTCTCTTTTATAGGCATCAATCCATTTACTTTTTTCCAAACATCAATTCTGAAGGGACTTAATTTCATCTGAATAGGAGAGTTACGATATTCCGAAAACTAAATAGGATCCTTGTTGTCACTACAGCTTTTTCTAACATTCGTTGACAGTTTGAATATGTTTTCAACCATTCATTAGACTGGGGTATTTTGGACTTGAATTTGGTTTCAAAATTCCATGCAAAATTTTATTTCCTGCAATTATATTGTGGCCTTATCCGAATATACTATTTTCGGAATACCATGTCTTGCAAAAATTGATTTCAATTGCTTATCACTGTACACTTGACAATCTTCCAAATGTCAATTTCAAATATTTGCTAAAATAATCTATAACTATTAGATAATCCCTTCCTTGAAAGTAAAAAGGTCTGTTCCCAATACTTCCCAGGACCATAATTCTAGATATCTTGGTTCTTTAGTATACTTTTTGTAAACTTAACATGTTGACATTCAGTACCAAATCTTCAATTTCTTGGAAATCCTGCAAATATAATATTTCTCTTGCTTTGTTGCATTTTACTACTCCTAAATGACCATAATTCTGCTTAACATCTTTTCGTAAACTTCTTGTACAACAACACAGGAATTTTTAATATTAATCCCTTTGCTTCTGATAGTTCTTCTCTGAAGTTAAAATATGGTTTGCAGTTCTGGAACCATACATTTTTCATCTGCCATCCAGTTTAATTAATTTTCTTAAAACTTGTTAGTTCTTCATCTTTTTCTGTTTCCAGTTGAAAAACTTCCATTTTACCTTAACATGGATACATTCTACAACTAATCCAAACATGAGCGCTATTTCTCTTCAAAGAATCAGATCCTTTATCAGTGAATGATCTGTAATGCATCCGCTATAAAAAGTTCTTTTCCTGGTTTATATTTTATCTCAAACTGATATGGCGTAATCTTATACGCATTCTTTGTAGTTTACGGGCATTTATTTAATGGCTTTTTAAAATTGATTCCAGGGTTATGATCCACTTCAACAGTAATATTTTTCATATATACTGGTGAAAGTTCTCACACGCAAACAATTAATGTTTTCCTTTTCAATTTGAGCATAATTCTTCTGTGATCGTTAATGCCTTAGATGCATATGCCACTGGTAAATTATTCTGCAGTAAACTGCTCCTAGTCCTTCTTGAGATGCTCTACAGATAAACTACTGGCATGTTTATATTATAATACTGTAAAACTGTTTATTTACCAAGACATCTTTTAGTCTTCTAATGCTTTTCATGTGTTGATTCCAGTTCAGAATAACTTTTTTTCAACAAATCTCTTAACATGATGGATACATAGGTATAAATTAGAAACCTAGTAATCATTCCTAGGAAAGTTTCTAATTCTTTCACATTTTTTGGTGGTTTTATATCTAGAATAGCCTTAATTTTGTCTTCATCTGGTTTTAAAATCTTTAGAAAATATATGTCCATATATTTCACTTCATTCAGCCCAAATTTACATTTATTTAATTAATTTACATTCTTTTCTCTGGCTCTGTCCAACACTTCTTTAATCTTGAATCATGTTCTTTTTTATCTTTACCCCAAACTAATAGTCATCTATATATATTTGAACTCCTTCTAAATCATAAAAATTTCAGAAAAACTTCTGTGGAAAACTTCTGTGATGAACTCAGTCCATATGGCAACCTTAAAAAACAAATCTACCAAACGGAGTGTTAAAGTAGTAAATTCACAACTTGAATCTGACAGTTTAATTGCCAAAATGCTTTGTTTGCATCTAAATACTAAAGACCTTGCATTTGTCATTTGAGATGAAATTTCTTCAAAGGGTTGGTATGTGATAATGTTCTCTCAGTATTTTGGTTAAGGTGCTGAGGATCTAAACACACTCTTAAATTACCATCCTTTTTCCGTATTACCACTAATGAATTCACGAATTCTGTTGGTTAGTTAACTTCTTTATAATACCATCTTTTTCCATTCTTGCTAATTCCTTTTTTAATGGGTTTAATAAGCTAAATGGAATTTTCCTACAGGGTTCTATTTTACCAACAACTCCTGGTTTTAATTAATATGATATGTATATCCAGTTAAATTCCAGTTCCTTTAAACAAATCTTGATATCCTTTTAAAAGTTCTGGTAACTTTTCATTAGAATCAGGATTTACTGTACAATCCTTTGTATAGGTTTAATTTTTGCAATGTAGGTAACCCTAAAATAGCTGGAACATTTTTATCACATGCTACGACTTGAAATTCTATTTCATCCTTGTTCCCTTTTGATGTTTCACATAATAATTTACATTTTTCCAACTACATCAATTGTAGTACCATTGTAATTATTTAAAGTGACTTTTGTTTAGTCAAACATTTCTCTCTTAAATTTAATTGTTTAAATTTAGGCAATGGTAGCACATTACCTGAGCTCCAGTATCCAACGTAACAAATAAATATTTTAGATATGTTTACTTTTAGTTTTTCAAACCATTCGGTTTTATTTTTAGAAATGGATTTATATCTTCTACTGACCCTAAAATATATTCATTACCATTATTATATAACTCATGCTCTAAATTATTCTGTACAACATTACCATTTTTAAAAGTGCACATTTTAGAAAGTGATTTTTTCTTTTTACAGTACAAGCAAATCTTATTATAAGCAGGACAGTTGTATAACTTATGAAAAGTTCCACATTTCTACATGGTTTTGGATTATTGTACTTATTTCCTTGATAGTTTTGAAGAAGATTTAGTACTTT